AAAAAAAAAAAAAAAAAAAAAAAAAAAAGAAGGTTATATGATATTTATTTTTAATGTAAAGAAAATAGAATCGAGGTACACAAGATTTGAGACAGCAACATTTCATAGGATTAAGACATAAACAGGTGCATGTTTTGTGGTGTGAAACAGCCCATAAAACATGGGTAATGTTAGCAAAACCCCATCTAACCTTTGAAAATAACCCATCATATATAATAATAATATTATAATAATTTTTCCATATATTTTAGTATATAAAACAATAAAATATTAAATTTGTAAATATTTATTGTAGCCCCTAAATTAAAAATATATATATTAGATTATTAAGGTGGGAAAATTATTGGAGTAAATTGTACATAAATATATAAATAATAATGGTGCTATAAATTAATTCAAGTGTGTGATAAGGTAGTTAGACAGGTGTTACATTTGAGGTCCCAACCCGCCTTTAATTTTTAGGGTGTCCCACGAAATTTTATCTACAGACTCTTGATAAATGTTTCAAAACTACTTTTAAAGTAAGACTCGAGACGTAGAACAGTGTGATGGTAACCTTGAACAAAAATTAGGATATAAATTATTGTTGCAAGTGATCGTCACACTGATTTTAAATCTTAATTTTCATCCAAAATTTTAATGGGTTTTTTTTTACTTTAATGATTTTTTTGAAAAAACTTACGGAAAAAAATGACAAAATTTAGGTTTAATAACACATTTCTTATAAGGGTGTGAAAATCAAAACTAGGATATGAACGTTGGAGAGGGGGAACGAAACATTCCTTATAAGGGTATGAAAATCTCTTCCTAGTAGACGCGTTTTAAGACCGTGAGGCTGACAACAATATGTAACGAGCTAAAGCATACAATATCGGCTAGCGGTGGACTTGGGTTTGGGCTGTTATAAGACCACTGTTCTAAGTCATAGTCACACTTGTTCCAAGTCCTAATTTCCATTCAAAATTATAACAGCCAAAACTCACTAGTAGTAGATATTGTCCTCTCTCGGTTTTTCCTTTCGGGCTTTTTTTCAATATTTTTAAAACGTATCAATACTTCGTACATCTCTCTAACCGACATGAGATCTCACAATCTAACTCCTTCAAGGCCCAACGTCCTCGCTAATTGTAGTTTCTCTCTCAAATCGACGTGGGATCTCATAAAAATTGTAATGGGTAGGTCGGATAATTTAAGGTTAGAAATAAACGCACGGAGTCTTGTTAGTATAAAGCGAAAGTAGAGACACCCAATTTTGTTATAAAGGAGGAAGGAAAGAAGAGATGAAATGTGTGTGTGTGAGAGAGAGAGAGAGAGAGAGAGAGAGAGAGAGAGAAGGTGCATGAAGAGCAAGATGGAGAAGCAGGGCACGTGCTGTGCTAACTCAATTCAGTTCAATTCAGATCTGTTGGGGTTTTTGAGTTAGTTCTTCATGTGCCCCTCTTCGCCATCGTGACCACTGCGCCTTAATTAATCAACCCTCTGCTGCTTCTGCTTCTTCATTGTTCAGGTCACCTTTCCCTTCTTTTTTTTTGTTTTAATCATTGAATCTCTGAAAGTACTAGGTAAACAACAGGAACCCTTTCGGTTTTTAAGCATACTCATGTATAGATTGTAAATATAAGCCATATTTGAGACACTATTTTTGACAATTGGGCGAATTTATGCTATGGTTTGATGGTTTTGTTTTGTAGAGAGCTACAAATGTGCAATGTGGGTTCAAAAAGGCAGCTGAAATTGAAGTTCCAACATCATCTTTATGTCGATTCTAGTTTCCTTGTCCTGTTTTGTTTTTTTTTTTTTTTTTTTTTTTAAGGATATCGAAGCTCAACTCTCCTTTGGGAACTTGCTAATCAAAATGAATTTGTACGGTTCGAGAGAGGCGCTTTTACATCTTCTTGACTCGAAATGACAAAAAGTCGAATTCTATTTATCTATCAATTTGTGAAGTTTCTTTGTCTTTGAATTGAAGTGGTAGCTGAGCCAAGTTGAGGGGAGAAAGAAAAAGGAAAAATCAACCACAAGAATGTGGATCTACCCAGGGTACTCACTTGAAAAGGATCATTTCAATGATTTATAAGTGAAGATTGAGGTTTTTTAACGGAGTTAATAGGAACAGCGTTGTCCCAACATCAGCGTTAATAGGAATAATGTTGTCCCAATCTTAAACTTTGCTTGTTCATATTCTATCTAGAAAGTTTAAGCTATGCAATGCTATGCAATTGTAGAAATAGAGACACATATTTGACATAGTTTGTTGTACTAACTAGGAACGATATTACGATGAATAAACATGTTTTTACCTAATTAGCTGATCTTAAATACCTCTTGTGAATGTGAAATATACTCATCAAATCGTATTAATCTTTCGTATCTCTTGTGAATATGAAATATACCTCCACTTCTGAACGATTGAATGTATTTATCATAGAGTCGACCTTATTTACCTCATGATGTGAAAAAACACCTACGAGTTTAAAGCGACCAAATGCAATCAACATACTTTTTCAAATTGTGTCATGCCAATTGGATCCAAGCCAATAACTTCCCATAAACATTGTCTTCAATAGATCATCTAAATTCATGTCTCGTATAAAAGTGATACAAGCCACTGCAAAGACTTGTTTTTTTCTCCAAAGAAGTCGAAAACTCATCAAGAGATATTTGAAAGAATGTGAAGAAAAAAAAGAAAAAAGCTCAAGCTTATAGATCTTAAGTCATCAAGCTTGAACTTTGAAATGACATTGACCATGGCTTGACCAATTCTCCAATCAGAAATATTCTTGCTTATTCGTAATGAAATGGATGGCCCTCACACCTTGAATTGGTATTTTCAATACACAAGCATTGAATTTGTTGATGAAACTCACAGGGAAAATGACATAAAATCAAGCATTATATATTCACAAAATGAACAAGAAAATCAGGTCAAGCTATGCGACATAATTACAAGTTACATAATGGTTAATGCGGGGGGAAAAGTAAAACCAATAAAATTCAACACTGATAGGATATGGGCGCATCGAATCTCCAGAATTTCAGGACAACCAACACGCCCATATACACTGGCTTAGATGACGAACGTGAGTTAAAAAAAAAAAAAAAAAAAAAAAAAAAAAATGTTGATAGCCTTTTACAAATTGAACGATGAACACACAAGAAGAGAGGATGAACAATGGAAATATTTACAGCCACCTAAACTATACAACAGATTTATTTGCCAAAGCCCCAATAAATATGACGGATTTTTTTTTGTCTTCCTGATCAGCTGTGAACCTGTACACCAGAGGCCAATAAATTTATAGCTTACACTGTTGATGACGAAGGGAGGTTTCGATGCAAAGAATAGGGCAGCTCAGCATATCATCGAATCGCACTTGGCGATAACAATCAATATGAGCTCTGCACAGACAAACTCGTTATAAAATCGATGCGCACACGCAACTTTGATGTCCAACCAGGAACTCAGGGAAATCAATCTCATCTTCCTCGAGAGTTGTCATCTGCATAAATAGATACACAAGCATCTACAGCTCCGGCAGCAAGCAGCCCCTCGTATGGGTGAAAGGTGAGGCAGCTTACAGAGCCAATCTTCTGGGGCATGAAGGTAGGGTGGTATCTAATGGTGCCCAGTTGATCGCCATCTAGGCTGAAAACCTTAATTAGCTGTTTAGCTGAGCCACTAGCTAAGATAGGAGCATGTCTATGAACGGCTAATGCTGTAAGTGAACCTCTGTGGGCATCGATGGTTAGATATCTATCTCTGAGATTTCTGATATCCAGAAACTGAATATCACCAGCCTGAGACGCACTGACAATCTGGAGTAGAGTACATGGTAAGAAGCATTAACAAATACACTTCATCGATAGGATACTGATATTGTAGTAGCAACAGCCAAGAAAATTTATCACCTTTGACGAATCAAGCCCAGGTTGAAAGCCAATCCCGACAACTTTTTCTACTTTTTGAACATGTGGGCGCATTGTGCAGACAGGCCTACGAATCGAGAAAAAAAAAAGGTTGTAGAAGGCATGAACAAAGGCAAATATGCATTAAATATAAAACGAGAAAATAAAAATTTCAGAAACATTCTAAGTATATTTCTTGGGCTTCTGACGGAAAAACTTCACGATGAAACAATAAAGAGATACGAGAGAAAATGAAGGCAGCTTACAGAAAGGGTGCTCCCTTGGACTTACAAAATAATACAATACACAACGCTGGGTTCGGGGTTCTATGTAACGATTTCACAAGTACAGATCTTATTGTGACAACTTCACAGCATATTCAGTTAAACATCATAAACATAAACGATACGGAAAATTAGGTTCACTACATTTAGAATAACGAATCATTCAATTTGTTTCGAACATCTATTTGTTTCATGAGGTTTCTTATAATTTGTATTCCCGATGCTCAGTGAATGGTAGAAAATCACAAAGCCCACTGAGTTCTTTATTTGACCCCTAAAGCACAACACTAATTAATGTTTCATGTATTGTTGGAGGAAATTAGTCTGCAAGCAGATCATGAGAAGCTTAACCAACATTGCTTTATTCAAACAAAGGCATCAAGAGAAAATATGCATATGCTTACGTTTCAGAAGTGCGAACATCATAAAGCTTAACAGAACCATCTAAGAAACCAGCTGCAAGCTGACCCCCATGAACTTGAGAAGCAGACTGCAAAGACAAAGAGTTCTTTAAATATATATATATATATAGGCCATCTCATTCTACCAATTGTTAGTTCATGGGACTAAGAATTCAAAACTAGAACTAACAATCTCAAAACCTAAAGCAAAATATATCAAGAGGCGAAGAAAATCACCCAGAAAAAAACTGAATTTATCTTTTTTAAATGTTCTGTGTTCCCATTAATAAGGTAAAGGCAACAATATCTAACACTTGCTCCAATCATTTTTCAGATGGGCACCTCAACTTGCCTCTGATAACATTATTAGGATACTAGAATAAACGCAAAAAATCCATACAATTGGGAATTCTTTTGAGACTGGCAACAACTCTCAAAAGAATTCCCAATCTATTTCTAAAACATATGGGATTGGGGCTTCAAACCTCTTGATCGATGATATTGGTTTAACTTGTTGAGTTATACTCAAGTTGGCCCAATCAATCACAAAGTGGTGCAGAAGAAATAGGATGATAAACTATGTTTATAAGCAGCTGACTCAAAATAGGAGTAACCTGCTACTTCCTATATTATTGGGAAGAGGTGAAACTCACCAATGCTGAGATGCTGCAATCTGATGATGATGGAATAGATTTAACAAGCTGCTCCTTATCTAGGTCCCAAAGCATAATAGACGATACCTCACCAGAAGCATACTGCAAATCACGTAACAAAAGACAAAGACCTTCAGTATTATACAAGCAAGAAACAATAAATATTTTCTTCTCTTCTCGCTTCTCTGAGTTTTCAGGGAAGATGGGGAGGATATAACCAGACTAAATACATACCAGATATCCAGACTGTTGTTGCCAGTCCACAACAGCATTTATACTACGAACACCAGGTTTGTGCCCCTGGATTGCAGAGAATGCAGTTACAAGCTTCTGTTTGCCCTTCACAGTGTAATCTTTCCAAATACGAATACTTCCATCACCTAAAGGATAAGGGAAAAATTGAAGTAAGGCACACTAATGAGTGTTAAATGAACACAGCCACCACAAAAATTAATTAAAAAAAAATGCAGTAAGAAGAAAGCTTACATGAAGCAGCCAAAAGCAAGCTGTCATCAAGCTCATTCACAAGACAGAGTTTCGAAATTCCTTTGTCAGGAAAATCATGGTTATCAAAACTGTTGAGAAGAGCAGGCTCTTCATAATTCCAGACCCTGGAGAGACGAGCCAAGAAAGTTACAGGGTAATAACCAATGGAACAAGGTTAGCTTTGAACAACAAATGAACCATACTTGTTTCAATATGTGCACAGTAGTGTGACCTAAAACTAACTTCCAAATCAACAATAGTCTCCAAAAACATAATTGTAACAACAGACGGATGCTAGAGCTAGGCACTAAAGGTTTTACGACAACAGACTTGGAAATTTCCCATGAGTCGCAACACAATCTACTGGAAATATACAGCAAGAAATAAATACAAGAAAGCACCCATACCTAATTCGTTCATTCTCATCAGCAGCAACAACGATGGGAGAGAATGGTTGCAGCAATAATGTTTTTGTACCCATTTCAAACTTTGTATCCCAGCTAGCAATTGGATTATCGTTCAGCTTACTAACAGCTGATGAAAAAAGAATAGCGAAGACAAAATAGAGATCTATCAAATTCAATGATGAGAAGACTAAATATCATGAATAAAAATAAAATTGAAGAGGTTTACGAGAATGTTGGCATTTGGCAATGCGTTCGAGGACAAATTTCTCCCTCTCCTCTCTTCTAGTAAATATTTCTTCTCCATCATCAGCAGGAGTGAGAAGAGGCTTTGAGAAATGCCCACAGCTCCAGTTATAGATTGTTGATTGTGGAAGAAAACTGCGTTCAGATGTTCCTGAAGTTCCGCCTGAGCCCCATAATGGATCTGCTAACCCAGAATCAGGAGAATTCATTAGCTGAGGCCGGAACTCTAACGAGCAAACTCTTCGCATGCCTGTCAAGTAACTTGGTCTGGGAGGGCTGACTGGAGGAGTTCGGAAAGTTAAAGGCAAATGACCTGACATAGAAGAAAATGGAGACAAAGTTACGATATAAGCACCATGCACTAAGTTCAGTAGAGAGAGAGCAGCAACACAGGAG